TTTATAGATAATTACAATATTCTCAAACTCATTTTTTATAATATTCTCAATTTATTAAATTAAAAATATATTTTGGGTTTTTATAGTAAAGGGAAATATACATGTTAATGTTAGTAGCTGGACCATTCTTTGTTTTGCTGGAGGCGGAGCTACCATATTGTCGGGTGCGTCTGTGCCTCGCCTTTAGAACATGGTTAATATTATAGCTAGGTGCTGGCTATATAAATGTGCCATGTCATCAAAAATTAGCATTATTAGTTACTCAGACAATAAGGCTGACTATAAGGATGGCTAAAAGGTTACAACCTTTTTTAACTTCTCTCTATCTCTTTTCTCTCATTAAATGTTTTATCTAGAAGCACACTTAAAGGTGGGCTCTTGCATAAGAATCAACTCCTTCCCTTTTTTTATATCTCTCCTCCACATAGGCAGAAGTGTCATGTATGCAGGCTTATAACCCACTATTGTACTTGCTCTTAGCAAGCTAGATGCTGGCACCGCCTTAACTCATAAAGAAGACAAGTTACGGATCGTTAGCATCCCCCAACCAATTGCCCAAGTATGGAAAACAACTAACTTGTGGTGTGATCGATAGCTTGGTGCAGGTTAGGTACACTTTGAAAGGGTTTTCTTTTCTCACTTCTCTTAGATATGTATATTCTTTTTTTAATATATTGTTATTTAGAAAGCATATTTTAATAATTTTTCAAGAAAATGTTCACCTTGCACATAAGTTTTTTATATTGTATATAAAAAAATACTCATCATGTATTTCCAAAAAAAAGTCTTCATCATGTATTACCAACTCTTCATCGTATATTTTTAAAAAGATCATAGTGTAATAAAAAATGTTAAGCATTCCCTAGAAAATTTTCGTCATGTCTTTCAGCAAATAATCATCGTGTAATCCAAAATTGTCCAACTTGTATTAACAAATGTTCATTGTGTATTAAGAAAAATCATCATGCAGTTAAAAAATTATTCATCAAGTATTTCAAAGAAATATTCATCATGTAATTGAAAAATATACACCATGTTCTAAAAAATATACATCATATATTCAGGAAACAATCATTGTGTAATCTAAAGGTCTTCATCATGTATCAAAAATGATTATCGTGCGATAAGAAATGTACTTCATATAATAAAAAAATTTGTATTTTCCTAGAAACCCATAAAAACTAAAATTAGAAAAACAAACAAAAAATTAAGAATAGAACAAGTTAAGAGAAAAGAAAAGAGAAAAATAAAAAATACATGGGAAACCCCGAATAAAAAAGACTGGAAACCGATAAAAACAATAGCCAAAAAACTAAAACCCGTCGAAACCACCCTGCACAAAACCAAAAAATATGGACCACCCCTCGTGGTGCTAGCTTTGTTACCTCATGTTGGGAAAGGTAGTAGAAAAACAAAAAAGAATCGCTACTATGAATATCCCAGGATCACTATGAAGATGAACACAAGGTTAGATCGGATTGTTACCAACTTCGAGTTGCAAGTGAACAAGAGTCGGTGTAGATCATTCTTGAATTCTCGAACCGCCCACAAACGACCCCTCAAAAAAAGAGATCGAAAGCACGATCTCTCTATTGATTGCACGAGTACAGGCTTCACGATCCAGCAACACTATGCTATCTAGAGCTTTGCATCGTCAGAGAACTAGAGGAGGAGAAGAGAACCACACGGAGCAACTCTATTATGAGGACTATAGAAACTTAATACAAGTCCAGTTCGAGAGAGAGGGGGTGCCCAGAATCAAGGGACTTGTGCGCCTCAAGGGGCACACCCCATCAACTATACATAGGTGTACAGGAGAGGGTGGCCACTTGGGGAGGGCTCCTCCCCATGGCGCGTGGGTCAAAGGAAGGGGAGTCCCCCTCTAACTTCAATTCATCCCCTCCCCCTCTAGCTTGTCCAACAAGCTAAGGGGGCGCCACCCCTTTTGGGCTTCTTAGGCCCATTAGATCACCCGCTGCCTTATAGGCCTTTAGCATATTACAGGGGCCTAAATAAAGCCCCGGGGCTCCCGGTAATTTCGGGAAAGCTCCTGTATTTATATTAGGTCTTTTGAACATTTTCCACCTATTCAGTATTAAACGGTATTTTCCAAAACACTTTCGGTAACCCCGAAACACTTTTCTCTCCGAACTATTTTTTATTTCTGAAACTCTTTTCGGTAATATTTTCATATTCCTAACTCCTATAGAACTCAACAAATCGTAATCCCTTAAGTGCCTGACCCTACAGGTTCGATGAAATATAGACATGAACAAAAAGACCTTTTTGTTCAATGATCAATAGCGAAACCGTGGACATCCATATTGACCCCTATACTCACACGATTGATATTCGAGCAAACCTTTGGTTATCATATGTTATTCCTTTTTCTTTGCGATACGTTACAAAACCCGATGTGAGATATATCGGTATCCCCGTGAGATAAACACATGCTCACTAGATCGGTCTTTCTCATTATCGGTTTTGTTCCTTTTTCTCGTTCTCGTGTTCCGGCATCCCCATGATCAATTCACACTTTGTCTGGCTAGACGATGATAGATGCCATCACACCGAGAGGACGTAAGAATATCTCTCCATCGTTGGACTAGCAAATTCTAGTCTCGAGCTATCTAGTCTCTCATCCTACATTTCTGATGAACCCATAAGCTTCCGTTATGATCACCCTGTTATGGATGACGTTGGAACAACCCCAAAGTGCATCGTCTGGCATGGAGTGACTTGATACTCTCATGGTATAAGGAATCATAAATACTTTAACTCTCATGTTATGGAATTTAGACTTCAGACCATATAACCTCTAAGTATTAAAAGCAACTTATGGTCAATTCAACACGAGTGTTTTAGCAACAATGTGCTCTCACATGTTGCCGCATAAACATCATGAGCATGATCAGGAAAATAGAATCATCAATCAACAATTGTGCTAGTCCTAGAGGCAAGACCATGAATCTTGTTTTACGGTCTATAACTCTACGTATGCTTATGAATTTTCCTCCGAATCGCATATTCGCGAACCATAGCAGTTATAGCATACAATATAAACTATAATTACAAACTTGGAATTAATAATACTTAAAAATTATTGGCTCTAAAGCATATTTTCAACACCTTCATTATTGGCCAGCCCACATCTAGGTGTTGCAAGGTGAGGGCGGTGTAGGAGCCGCAACATGAGAGATTTAGCTTTTGCGCTATTGCCTGCTTTAAAGCGGCAACTAGGAGCTCCCTAATTTGCCATGGATAGATAGTTGGTTGGTCTCAACTTGGGCTGATGTGTCCCCTCATGCAAGGGTAAGCAGGGCTAAAAAAACAAAATTGAATCATGGATAATACTGTTTGTTCATTATTTGTTGAGTGCATGAACCTGAACCCGATCTTGTGGCAAGCACAAGTACTGGCCATTAAGAAGAATATAAACTAGCCGCCGGCCTGCTTTTAAGCATGTGTAGCGAATTAGTTTAGTAAAGCCGCCCAGGCCCCATTCCTAAGACGAATCATGACGATGCATGGTGGATATTTTGGTAACGGGAGAGGGGCTCAAGAAAGAAAGGTGTATGCATGATTAGCGCAAGTAGGAGAGTATAGGGACTTATAGGGACTAAAAGTGGGCATTTGGGACTTATGAAATAAGACTCTCAAGGAGGGACTTATAGGGACTTATAGTTGTAATATGGCCTTATAGGGACTTATAAGTCCCAGGAACCAAACAGGGAGGGACTTTTTAGGGACTTGTGACTTATAAGTTGGGACTAAAAAAAGTCCTAGGACTTATGAACTACACAGGGCCTAAAATATAGAGAAGACTGGTATGCATAGTATCTGGCGAAGCTCTAGCAATTTGAGTTTAGTGTAGGATAGTTTTGTGCGTGTTTCACGGGACTCACCCGTAAGTGGAGCAATTTGGTTCTCCGAGCAATGCTACACTTACAGGTAGATTTTCATGGAATAATGGTTACGGACATGCATGGCATCATTAGATTGTGGGAGGAGTGCCATACCCCTGAAACTGAGGGGGCGGGGATGGATTAGAAGCTGCCACATCAGTCCGTAGGATAGCTCCCATGAAACTCACCCGTAGGATGCATCATGCATGTGTACCCATCACACCCCCTAAGGTGATATGATCAGTAATCAACAACATCACAAGTGGCACGTGTAGTAAGCAATTCAAAACATAATCAACACCATCCCCTGACTTGTCAAAGCCGAAAGCTACTTCATCTTCTATAAACTACTAGTGGTAGTACAAGGTTAGTTAACCACTCCCACTAGGCGCTCGATCGTTAGCCGCCTTGGTTGATGCCTCCAACAAGTTGAGGATTGAATATGCTGCTGCCACAGTGTTTCCTGCTTGGTTCATCTGGCCTTAGATACGCTTTGAATTTTCTCCGGATGCATGCATGTGTACCCATGACTCGGAGTCGATCGTCGACCAATCATTTCCCTCCTTTCAAATATTCGAGTCGATCAGATCTCGAGCACCGCGCGCGGTAGTTTCCAGCCTCGGTTCGGCTGGTCACAATGGGCAAGAACATAAGCTAGTAACTTCACACTTCCCTAGACTATGTTGCTACCTTCATAGTGGGTAGGAACATCTATGTAGTGTCATGCAACGATGTATTTATTAGGTTATAGACTCATTGTTTCTTGGAGTGTGTGATGTTCCGGTAACTTAGCTAGTTACCACAAGCACCTCTCTCTTCATTAAATACGTGCCACATAAGCAAAGTTGTATTGAGGTGTGTGATGTTACTCCTAAGTTCCTCCCCACTGTGACCAGCCTTCCACCGGTGTAGGTGCATGCACACGAGTCACCAGTAGGACCGAGCTCCATGTCAGCCAGCAGACAAGATTCCATGGAGGTCGCATGCATGCGCGGGTGCCTATAAAACCACACGCACACCTCCAAAGCTCAGCACACTCACAGCCACATCGATCCTACAACTTACAGAGTGACCTGGCAAGCTAGCTAGATCACCATGGCTTCCTCCCCCTCGGTTGCTCGCGTCCTGCTCGTCCTCGCGGCAGCAGCTCTGGCCGTGAGCTCGGTGTCCGCCGCGGCAGGTGCTGGTGGCTCGCCGCCGCTGGCCAAGGGCCTGTCGTTCGAGTTCTACCGCGCCAGGTGCCCGCAGGCGGAGGCCATCGTCTTCGCCTTCCTCAAGGACGCCATCCGCAAGGACGTCGGCCTCGCCGCTGCGCTCCTCCGCATCCACTTCCACGACTGCTTCGTGCAGGGCTGCGACGGCTCCGTGCTCCTCAACAAGACCAACGGCGTCGACAGCGAGAAGGTGTCTCCCCCCAACGTCACGCTGCGTCCGTCGGCGTTCAAGGCCATCAACGCCATCCGCGCGCTCCTCCAGAGGGCGTGCGGCGGGCCCGTCGTCTCCTGCGCCGACATCGCGGCCCTCGCCGCCCGCGACTCCGTCCAGCTGGCCGGCGGGCCGAGATACGCCGTCCCGCTAGGCCGCCGCGACGGGCTCGCCCCCGCGTCCCTGGACACCATCCTGGGCGCGCTCCCGCCGCCGACCTCCAAGGTGCCCGTGCTCCTCAGCTTCCTCGCCAAGATCGGCCTCAACGCCGACGACCTGGTGGCGCTCTCCGGCGCGCACACGCTCGGGATCGCGCACTGCGGCTCCTTCGAGGAGCGGCTGTTCCCCAAGGACGACCCCACCATGGACAAGTTTTTCGCCGGCCACCTCAAGCTCACCTGCCCGCGGCTCAAGGTGGACAACTTCACCGCCAACGACATCCGCACGCCTGACGTGTTCGACAACAAGTTCTACGTCGACCTGCTCAACCGGCAGGGTCTCTTCACCTCCGACCAGGACCTGCACACCGACGCCAAGACCAAGCCCATGGTCACCAGGTTCGCCGTCGACCAGGCCGCCTTCTTCGACCAGTTCGTCAAGTCCATGGTGAAAATGGGGCAGATCAACGTGCTCACTGGCAACCAGGGTCAGATCCGCATGGACTGCTCCATGCCCAACGCCGCCCGCAGTGCCGGCGACGAGCTGCCGTGGTCTGTCGTCGAGACCGCCGTGGAGAGCTTGGTGTTGTAGGTAGTAGTAGGGTTTAGTCCATGGATCTCAAGCTTGTTTTATGTTTTGGCAAGGTTTGGACTTTGGAAGTCAGAGTGCATGCGTGTTTAGTTTGTTGAGCAAGACCGAACCAGTTGAATAATGAGTTGTTTTGTCGAAATATCTGCCTATGTGAGGAAAATTGCTCACCGTGAACATTTGGTTGATGATTTGACTTAAAAGTTTACTAGCTAATTGCTCACCGTGTGCATGGGTATTTTAAAAATACCGATAAACATTTGATTGATGATCATTTTTGAGGAAAATTTCGTTGATGATTTTATCATTCAACACTTAGTTGTCATGTGTCCAATCGATAACTGATGCCTACTTTTTTTAGGAAATTAATTGCCACGGTTTTTTGTTGGAATAAAATCATCTAGCTTTCTTTTTTAAATGATCTAGCTTTATTTTTAAAATTTAGCAATATGTAAGTTGCCTGGAAATTCAATTTGGCTTACTCGAATTTTTTAGGCCCTTGATTTCTGCTTCAAGATTTGTGCACCTTTTGTTTCTGTTGTGACTCTTGTTCGGCAGAAATTTCCAACCAAGCACTGTTTTGAGTCAGTCTATCTCTTATTAGGTTGCAGCCCGTTTCATGTTGCCTGGCCGATAGTGCTTCCTTATTTTATGTTTTTATGCAGTTTTTGCTATTTGTTTTCTTGTTAGTCGTTTTTATGATTATTTTTGAAATGTTGGGTGAGTGCATTATGTATACATGTAAGTACAATATAACATGTGTATTATACTAGAGTGCAAAAATTGCACAATTATGTGGTTATTTTGTGCATCTCTAGTCTAGTTCTAAAGGGGGAGTTGGTAGTCTTGCCTCACATCCCACCAAACCTATATTACACCCGCCAGAGCGTCGTACAGTCGATCTTTCGCTCAAGCGCAGCCAATTTGGGCCAACCCATTTTACGCATGCATTAACTCAATCAAATCAGCACTTTTCCAAAAAAATGTCATGCATTAACTCATTCAAATCAAATCTTAAGGAATCTCAACCAAATACAAACTTTCCTTGTCTTCCACTACTCATACCCAAATCAAGTCAAATCTTACCAAAACATGAACTATAATCAAAGTTAGCCGGCCCACTTGATGCATGCACACATTTTTCTTTTAAATCACATATATTTTCTTATCTTATCTTCTCCCTCCTAATGCACTACAAGAAATATGTCAACTTGTGACCTTGACTATTGGTCACTGAAAGGTCATTGTTTTTCATTTGCGACCTTTTTGTGACCAACAACAGAAGGTCAAAAGCTGGCGGTCGTAAACTGAAATTAACGACCTTCTCTGTGAGAAGGTCGTAGACGTTTACGACCACAATATGCCTACTGTTGTGTTTTGGTCACTAGCAGCCTCCCCGGGCCACGTAGGCATCCGACCTGGCAATCTGATGTGGCACAAGAATCAGCCCGGTCTGATTTAGCGTTTTACATGGGCCGAGCCCAACACTTCGGCCTTTTTAATGTATTTTTCCTGTTATTTTTTACTAGCTACATGGGCTTGGGCCATTGGTTCGGCCTTTCTTGCTTTCTGAGGTGCAGCCTTTTCACATTCTATACATTTTTTATTTTCAGGTTTTCTTTTTTTTTTGTTACATTCAATTTTCAGATTATTGTAGTCAACTGGATGCACATTGTCAGATTCTTCTAGGCACTAGGTCTCAAACATCAGGTTTTAATTTTTCACAACTTGTAACTCAATGATATACCAATCAGAGAACACATTTTAGATATATTCAAATAACAGCCAAATCACCAATATACCAATCAAGTTTATTACATTCCACCAATCACAATATAACCATACAATATTACACCAATCACAATATAGCACTCTACAGATAAAATGCTCAACAAGTACAGGCACGTCTCCAACACCTTAGCGCCTTGAGCCTGCAAAACATCACATCCAGCCACATATTAATGATCAAATCAATTCACCCCTTGACGGCAATTAAAAACGGTGCTCATGTATGAACGAAAATAAAATAAACAATCTTTTAGGCCATAGCATGTGCTACAAAAATCTTAACAAATGCATAGATGTCCACACAGAGCACATCCTACATGCACCAAGAATCAGGCATATGTTCAAGAAGACAAGTAATTTGAGATGGAAACAAGTACAGCTAACAATCTGACATGTGTAGTAGCACCAGCAAAAGAGCAAGACATGGAAGAATTTACAAGAACAACATCCTGGGAGTCCAATTACATGTACATGAGGTACTGCTGCTAGTGTATAACAAAGCATGAGTCCAGCTTGTGTAGGAGCAGAGCATGAGTCTAACAAAGCATGCTATAGGAGCAGAAAAGAGGGAGCTAGGGGTAGGAGATGGAGCCAGCTCACCGAAGAACTTGGGAGTCCAGCTTGGGTCCTTGTTAATCTGTTGCTGCTCCGGTAGCTCTCGTGTGCGGGTATAAGATCAGATCCAACTGACTGGAAGCGGCCGTTTGTCGAGCGGTCTTTCATTTCCTGGTCTGCAACAAGAGGTAAATGCTAGAGATTAGCAACTGCTGCCAAACCCAATGTGACAAAGAGGTAAGCACTATAAACCGGATTTATAAAAATTAACAGTATAAGTAAAAGGCAGAGCCTGTGCAAGTTTATCAGTACAAACTGGATTTATAAACAAAATCTAATGGTATAAACAAAAGGCAGAGACTGTACTGTGCAAGTTTAGCACTATAAACTGAATTTATAAACAGAATTTAACAGCACACACAAAATGCAGATACTATGTACTGACTACTGTGCTAGTTTAAGATGAATTTTGTTCAGTGCTGCTGATGAATCTTGTGCTTGTTCTAGCCGAGGAGAACTGACTAGTGAGCTATGTACAAACAAAAGCGGAGACTATATACTGGGTACTGATGCACTATTCTATGATCTGAGCTATCGTTGTTTCAATAGCTTGGCAAACATTGACAGCAAAGAAACAAAAATTTTAAGTCAATATCTTTGTGAGCGTGTAGTAGATTGTTCACATCCTAATGTGATACATGGCAAAGAAGCTTGAACTATACTAGCAATAGAAAGCAGTCAGCAGTATCTGAGAGTGACTGATGGTTGTTTCAACAAACAATCAGTTTCTTGACATCTTAACACGGACTCAACTTTGAGGGAGCGGACTGATTAACATTTTTTGTCCTGCCAGCTAGATGTCGTGTAACTAAATAACTGTTGGTTCAGAGTTAGATGCAATATAAAATCTGCCAATTTGCAGTGTATGCCACACATTCAAAGAAATTTGTGTGATGTTCAGAATATGCAGTGTACGCCACACATTCAAAGAAATTTTCCGAACATCTGACACCCCTAAAATTCAGTCAGTCTAAAATTTGCTAGGTTATAAATGTTCAGAAACAAACTTGGCAATGTTCCTGTTTACAGGAACAATCTGTTTACTGTCAATTTACAGAGAAATGAAGTTTCTCTCTGTAGGAGCATGATTTGTTCACAGGACTAAATGCACCTGTTAACTGTTAACTACTGTGTCAAAATCATTGATCAAAACATTGCATGATTTGTTCAGAGGAGTACTCATCTACTCTATCAATGTCAAATCAAGAAATGGAGCAGCCTGCATGACATTGACCAAAACATTCAACGTTCAGAGATGACCAAAACATTCAGTTAGATAAATGCTACACACAGAGTGGTACATATATAGATTCAGTAATAGGTGTAGAACAATAAACAAAGCAAGGAGATTTGCTACTAGTACTTGTGAACATATTGGTATAAGTGTTGTGGATTGTCCCTTGCCCCAAAATGGTAAGGAAAAATAAATAAAAAGGAGTCTCAGATCTGGGGTGTCCATCCACCCCGAGCGGACGGACCTGGAGCTCGGTGGTGACTGGGTACTCGTCCATGTCGACGTAGTTCTTGTTGACGGAGTCCATCATGAGCTTGCCGCTCTCGGGCTCCATCCAGGTGGTGACGAAGGACGCCAGGTTCAGCCGTGGGTTCCCGTCCGGCATCAGCTCGTCGCTGATGATCTGGTACGCCGCCTCCTTAGGGATCGACCCCTCCGGCATCCGGTACCTGCACCAACATCCGTCCGTCAGATCTCCGGCCAACGAATCGAGGCATCCGGCCCGTCTCTCTCTTTCTCTCTCTCTCTCTCTCTCTCTCTCTCTCTCTCTCTCTCTCTCTTGCGTCCTCACCGGCGCCTCCTTAGGGAAAGTGACGGCAAGTCGGCCGATGGCGCCGGGAATCGGTTCTCCACAAATGAATGGAGGCGGAGGTGGAGGTGGGTGTGCTCTGTCGGCGGCGATGGGATGGAAGGGACGGCCCTTTTGTTTAGTGCAGCGCCACACACGTACGCGCGCGCCGTGGCACACGTCGCGCCGCGAGGTGGTTGCGCACGCCTCGATTGAGGGAGAGGGACGGCATCTACGGGACGCGATGGGCGTCGCTGCGGGACGCATCGAGGAAGGAGGTGGTGGCGGGATGCGCCGCTGCAGGACGGGGAGGAGGTGGCGGCAGCGAGGAGATGAGGGAGGGGGTGGATCTGGCCGCCGCCATGGCCATGTTCACTAGAAGTTTGCAAAGTCCTATCATTTTTCTTTTTCTTTCTTTTAGAAGAACTAGGTACATCAATATTATTTCTATGAGAATCTTGCTCAAATCTCTTAGGATGGCCTTCAGGATACAAAGGTTCCTGAGTCATTCTACCAGTTCTAGTAGCCACTCTAACAACATAATCATTTTTCTTACTATTCATTTCATTGAGCAAATCATTTTGAGCCTTAAGTACTTGTTCTATTTGAGTGGTAACCATGGAAGCATGTTTGCTAACAAGTTTAAGTTCACATCTAACATCAGCCATATAATCACCCAAGTGTTTAATCATATCGGAATTGTATTTCAATTGTCTACCAAAATAAGCATTAAAATTTTCTTGTTTGACAATAAAATTATCAAACTCATCCAAGCATTGTCTAGCAGACTTATAGTGA